AAAATTAACATTGGCCTACCGCTTGTACTAATAAAGTGCCAAGGGCCTAAGTGGTCACCTTAATATTAAAAAAAAATAAAAAATAAAAAATAAAAATAATAAATTTATATAGTATTCAAATTTAGTAATTTTATTATAAGACATCTTCAGTAGAATCTGCTAACCACCATTTTGTCAACAAATTGAGCCAGCACTAAACTTTAAGCCAGGCCAATCCTAACTTAAATCGGTCAAGTTTGCCTGCAAAACAATTGTTAGCAAAATTTGGTTTATATATTTTCTTTCTTTAGTTACGTACTGTACATATATGAAGATATATACAGCTATGGAACAATTATGTGATTTTGAGAAAATCATAATCGGACGATCTATGGACGGGAAAGTCTTTGGACACCTACCGATTTTGGTTAGTGTTAGGGTTAGAGTTTTTTATGATTGGTGGATTTATATTTGGTAGGTGCAAAAATCACATGTTGGTAGGTGTCCGGAGACTCTGGAGGATCTACAGACGGATCTTAGGGACAGTAGGGACAGTTCAAGACACGTGACTTTGGTTAGGGACAGTTGATTTTTTTTCAGAACTTTGAGCAAAATATCTCAATGACCACCTGTCGTATCCGTTTTCACTAATAGGGGTTTTGGGCTCGATTCACTTAGTCAGAGCACTCACTTTGCGCACTGGCGTATCGTACCAGGCACTACCACCTATACTACTGTGTATATACTAGAACGTGTATTCACTAAGCAAACAATCGTCTTCGATTCCAAAGGAATCGATACTCTTTTTATTAGATTATCAATCCGGGTACTTGATTACCCGGGTTACACACATTATGCAATACTTACAAATAGACTATAAATTAAATTCATGCATCAACGATCACGCCATTGACGTTACCCAGTCCCAATCGGGTAACCCGTGATCGTACCTAACCCTAGCATTATCAACACAAGGGGTGTTGGTCATCACCACGACACTAAGGCAAAAATAACATCCATGGCCTTGATCTCCGCCAAGTAAGAATATACTGTCTCTATATCAGTAATAACTGTAAAAGCATAATCTAAGTTATTTATAACTGCTTTTACATGTTGTAAATTGTTATTTGTCAATTTTATATTTAAATGATTAACTAAATAATTTAATAAAGCTATTTTAGATTCAATTTCTTGATGTCAGTCTATATTATCAGTACTTTTTTCAGTATAACTCTCTATTAAATATAGATCATATAGTATTAAGTTTGAATAATTTTTTATATTTTGAGTTTCACTTCCATCCCAGATTAAAAATGGATATCCAGTCCATTGTTTAAAATTAGAATAAACTAATTGAACATTTTGCTTTTCTGACTCCATTTTTTCTAATACTATATTAATCAAATGCTTGCAAATTAAAAAATGACTATTAAGAAAATAGAGGCAACTACATATCTAGCAATTCAAATCAACATAATAATGTTTATTAAATTCTTTGTCAATTGGTTTCTTAGCAAGATTCTTCTATTCTTTCTTAAAGTCCTCAAACCATGACAGAAATGTTTTGCTAAGTGAAATTTGCTGAAGATAGGTAATTTGATCAAGTAATACTTGAGTACAAATTATCCATATAAGATAATCAAGTCTTGGGCAATTAAACTGATAAAGGTAATTATATTTTAAAACCTTCAATGAGCCTCAATTATCATATTAGTTTTACCAAGAAGAATTGTTTTTTGTGTAAAATGGGCCCAGAGACACTATTTAGAAGATTTGTACCAGGCATACCACAAATATACCCAAAGCAATACAAGATTATTTGTATTGCAAAATTCATATATTTCATTAACTACCTTTATTCTTATTGCTTTAAAAGTTAAAAATTAATCATCGGCATTAGTTGGAATTTTGGAATGCATATTGAAATGCTTTTTAACAAGGTTGATAATATCTATATGCAGGTTAGATAGACAGATAATATAGTATTCTTTACCTTCATATTTTAGATCAGGTTTGAAAGAAGGATCAACAAAAGAAAATTTATTTGCAACTTCCTTATATTAATAATCAGTTCATTTAATTTTATTTTTGCTTCTAATTTTTTTCTTAAGAGCTTTTTCAATATGCCACAGGCAAAGTTGTATATTACATGCCAGCCATACTTTTTTTGCTGCATTTATTTCAGCGAAGTTCTTTTGGTATAAAAGTAGATGAGATGCAAACCTTTGCTATAAAGGGTACCAAAAAAACTTTTAAGAGCTTCAGTTCACAATTTTTCTTGTATTTCATTACTAATTTTCATCATGTCAAGAATGAGGTAAGCCAAAAAGAAACCTGCACCTGTGTATAAATAATAATAGTTATTTTATAATGATTTCGAATATAAATAGATGGTGAAATTTTAATCTGAAAGAAGAAGAGAAAGAGCATCTTCGAAATTTCCAACAATACCATAGAGTTTGAAACGTCCTTTTGAGGTTTTGTATATAGCATCACAATAGATCTCTAGTACATTTTGTAATGAATAAAACAAGGGTTGTAAACCCGATTACTATAACATAACTAGTTTCTACCTGAAAACAAAGATCATAATTATTTTTTTGCTGCTGTTCAAGAAAAGTACACAGAGGTAATATGATTTTCTTTATTTTTATAAAACTTTTGTGTATAATAGGACCACCAGTAGTGAATTTGTTTTAAGATAATTTTAGATATATCAAATTTTTTCTAAAATAGGTTCGTAAATGTACCAGGTCTATATTTAGGTTTTCTATAATTTCTTGTTTTACTTCTGGAGGTGTTGCAATATCAACAGGCCTTTCATATATTAACTCATACTGTAGTGTTACTTTGGCTTTTGCAGCTGGAAGGTTAATTTTAATAGTTAATTTGCTACCACGATTAAAATGGTTAATTCTTTTGCGATTTGAATCTTTGTATTTACACTCAATCCCAGTACTTTGAGAACATGCAAAATATGCATTACTAATACCTTTATGATGTGATGAAATGTTTGGTGCAGTTGTAGCACTATATAATTAGAACATTGGATTAAAAATTAGAATTAAAAAAAAACTTAAGGCAAGTAATATGATGTTTTGATTTTGTAGTTTACTTATGTTCAATTGAAATCATCCCCTTTTTCAATTTCATCAATAATTAGTTTAGCCATTACTCTAATATCCACACCAACGGAGTTAAGAGTAAGTTCATCAAGTTTAATATAAAAAACAGAAAATAGAGCAGTATCATGCTCTAATCTGTCAATTATATTAGAAATATAATTATTAATTTCATTAATTGCAATTATTTTAATAGAGGCTTCTTCACTATTAGTATTAGCTACTTTTTCAGAATTTTTTTTTTCAGCTCTAATAGTTTTGCATTCAGTGGATATCTTATATAATTTATTTTTATATATAAATGCTTCAGGGAGAAGTATACGATTACAAGAGGTACAGGTAGCTATTAGATTGTAACTGCAAAATAAAAACTTTGAATAATTTTTTTTAGAATATTGATTATAATAGATAAGTTTTTTTAAAAAAATTTTATTAATTATTTAATTCATTTTGCTAACAAATTTGTTATATAGACATTTTAAAATACATAAAAATAAGGGTTGAGATCCCATGGCCTAGTGGTCTAAGCACCCAACTCTCTATGAGCAGGTTTTGGGTTCAAGTCCTAGTAGATATGTTTACTTACGAATATTTGGAAGTATTTGCCATGGGAAGTCCAAGTGAATACAGGTTTAGATTAGAAATTTCCGTAAAGAGGTCCATTGTGGAGCAGTTGGTGCTATGTGTAATATTGGTCATTATAGAAGGTTCTATTACACAAAGATTGTGCGTATAAATCTGCGATTGGCAAGGTAGCACCAACAACCCCTAAGGCAACATTGGAAATCTTGTTTGGGAGGATGACCGGGCAGTAACTAGAATTGGAAGTGGTGAGAAATGTGATAAACACAAAGGGATCTGTAATAAAGAATTGGCCTTACCAGATTTGGAACACCTCTGGCGCTGTGTAGAATTGCTTACCAAAAGAAGACCAAAGCATGGAGGTATGTATGTGTCAAGACCCAACAGAGCTCTGGGCGCACCCATATAGGAGTCTTTGGACATTAAAAGTGGTTCAGGTTTACCGAAATGCAGATAGCTAGTATAAGTGCATGCAGTGTGTAAATGAGCTACAACTGCTAAGAATTACCATAAAAAGAAACGATGATGTACCTGTTATGCAAAGAACCTCATGATGCTAGCCAACTATCAGTTCTGGAAGTGTAGAGTAACCTGTTATGAAACATGCCTAGGTCCTTATTACTATAAAGGGGAGTACAGCCGTTCGCAAAATTACTAAATTTGATACGTTAAGACCTAAACTCCGAAAGTCGCAGGAAAGTGGGCTGGTTGCAGCAGCATGCAGGCTTGAGATACTTACCTATCTGGGTAAAGGCAGCTGCATGGCTTGAGATACAAACCCCCTACAAGTACACCAAATAGAAGCACAAACTAGGCACACCAAACTAGAAGTATTAAGTGCCTATCTGAAGCATTAACACACCAATTTGGGCAGTATTGTCACATAGGTATTTGGCCAGCTAGTGGCCACGGCCAACGGCCAAATTTTTGAAAAAATTTTTTTGGCCGAAATGGCTAAAAGTTTTATAATAAAAACTAGCAATATGATTGGCTAATATTACAAAATTAGAAATTTTTAGCCAAAGTTTGGCCATTGGCCAATAGCCGTTGGCTGGTTGGCCAGTTGGCTGGCTTAAAAAAATTGTTTAGCCACAAAAATTGCCAATACTGAATTTGGGAGTTGAGATAGTAGGTAATGTGGATGAAGCAGTAGACATGTGGAAGTTAAATAGCGGTGAGTAAGGATATACAAAATTCAGGTCAACAGTATAGTAGGAGTACAGTTAGCTCTGGTGGGTTTTAGCCGTGGATAAATGGTTTGTATACCTGATATCCTAGTCTTAGTACTTGAAATAATATATATATGTATAGGCACCATCATATGTCAATCATTTAAGTATTAATAAACTCTAAGTGCGGGTGCTACACTCTTATAATTAAATATATATATATATATAAAAATAAGTTAATAATTAAGCAATTTCATCTATCTAATATATTGGTTTTGATTTTTTAATTTATTTGACTCTGGTTCGAGTTGGAAATTACTATAATTTTACATAATTTTACAAATTGCATGAATTGGGTGAATATATTTTATGCAAATTACGATTACAAACTTTCATATAATTTTATTCTTTTTTATCAAACAATATAGCATTCTTTAGATATAGTGTGTGCTCAAGTACTTAAATTAATAGATTGTAACTCAATTTTAATTAGTGGAAATCAATTATTTGGCACTATTTTTTTTATCGAAGAGTTGTGCTGATTGGCAAAATTAATATCCGATTTCACAACATGAACCTTGGGCAAAATTATTATAAGAACTGGGTAAACTTTAGAAATAGCCCACTACATTGAAAAAAATATTCTAGGAGATAAATAATCTGTTTAACTTTGACTAGTTTTTAATTAGTAGAGAACAAATTAGATTATTATTAATCATATAATAAAGCTGAATCAAATAAACTTTATTTGTCCTGAATTTTATAATTAATATTACTAGTTATCTTAAATTTCTTTTTGTGCTTCAAAAAAAAAAGCCTTAAATATTTATTTATTATGTTTGCTAATTAGAAGTCAATACAAATTTGATAACACGATTCAATTGGCCAATTGGCCAATTGGCCAGCCTGTTTCAAAAACACGTAATCTGGGTCAGAAAAATCATATAATCAGAAAATTGATCCTATGCCCTGGTATTGTTGTATAAAGTCTGTATTGGGATATATTATTATGAATTACTATAAAAAATAATATTAAACTACTTGCTATTCTAGTTTTGACAAAAGGCAAATTAGTTTATATTGGAATTACTAATATTTTTATTGTGAGTTACTATAAAAATTCAGTTGCACACTTTTCTGATACCTATAAGCACGTAATAACACACATGGGTGTTATTTCGAAATTTTTTTTTTTTAGTGTTAAGGTGATCTCTACGGCCTGGGAACTTTTTATTAAGTAGATATATATTAGTTACAACGAAAGTATATATAGCCACATGTGCACCTTTTGAGTGCCTAATTTAAGTAGTCCGCCCGAAGGTTCTACACTATCTGCCGTACCTGTATCTCAACTAGGGAGGTACCCATTTAAACCCTCTGGTTACAACCGCTAGCTACATTTTACTTAACCAAGGTGTAACTCACTATTTGATGATAGCTTTTGCAACACCTATAGATTTCGCATCCTACCTTAGGACTTACTAACCATTTTTGGATTTATCAATCTCTTGTCTTAAGACTAACTAACTATACATGGCTAATCTATCTACAAGGTAAACCTAACAAAGTAGTCCATGTTTCACACATGTTTTTACCTACATGTTTGGTAATTTCATTCTAACTAGTATCTGTTGTGCTGCTGTCACCAAGTTCATATCTCAAGCCAACCTTTGGGTGTTGCTATAACCTGATCTGTATCTCAAGCCACAACCTTCCTAATTAGTCACTCATTACGTACTCCTTGCCCTTGTAAGGTTTCCAACAACCCCAGTACCTGCATTTGGAACCATCTCCTTACCCGAGTTCTCTATTGGTCTCTTCTTTACTTCTAGCTGGCAACCCAGATGGGTCAGTCTGCCCAGGCTTTAGGTACCTGAAGGATGCCCTCCCCTTGGTCTATACTTTCGAAGCGAATACCCTTTTCCTCCGGTGCGACAACCCAGCAGTTTGGCTGGTGTGTCCTCCGCCATAGGACCTGGTCGCTCAGTTCTCTGATCTTGGGCCCCAGTTCAAATTCAGCCCTCCTGTGGTACTGTCGAAGATCATTGCTACATCCCAGCTCGGGACTTGCCAAATGGGTTTTTGGTTATTCTGGTTCCTCAGATTTATTGCGCCAAAACTCCTATTACTAGATAGTGTAACCAAGATTACAGATTAAGATTCAACTGATAATCGACAACTGTTAACCGTACGCAAATCCATTTTTCAAAATCATCGTCTGTGGGATTTGAACTCTAGACTTGCCGCTTGGGAGGGTGACAACTAACCAACTACACTAAGTCGTCTTATCTACCGTTATTTTGAAATTTCGATTTTTTTAAAAATACTATATTTGACTCAAAATAACACCCATGCACATCTTAAAATAATGTGCCACTCTATATGTACTATATTATAATTTAAGAAAGTAGTTGAACTTTTTTTCAAAATTAGTATAATGGTTCGAATTATTGTGCATGTGCATTCTGAAATAATACACAGGGGCTTGAAATAATGCACCCTTGTGTATTATTACATGCTTATACAGTATATAATATGTAGCTGAGTTTGTTTGTAACAAAATTATGATTTTTATTTGTAAAAAATTTTATATACAAAATTGAAATAATTACAGTATGTAGTTAAAGTTGAGTTAGTTCACATTAGAATATTATAATTTCTATTGTAAGTTGCTATAAAAAGTTTCATTACAAATCTTACTACTTTAGCAATATATAATATGTAATTTACTACTAGTTGATCTGATAATAAAGAAGCAAAGTATATATAATATACAAAAGTTGATTTTATAAAATCAATTCTTAATCCATATATCTTAATTTTCATATATTAGTATTGACAAGTGAAAACCAGAAATTGAAGATTTTTTTGAAATTAATTTTATAGTTCAACCCAAAAATATAATTTAAAACACTATATAATACTATCTTGTACTTAATTTAAAATTATTAGAAATCAGATCAAAAAGCAAAAAATTGATTTGCTTGGTAATATTTATATTAATGAAATAATCTATTTGTAACAACCTGTTACATAACAACCTGTTAAGTTTAGGATTAGGCTAGTATTAGTGCTAGAGTTAGTGTTAAGGTTAAGATTAAAGTTAAATTAGATTTAAAATTTATATTAAAATTAATACAAAATTGCAAATGAGTTATTTTTTATTAGTAGCACAAAAGAGATTATCTTAGTAAAATTTTATGTTATAAAGGATTTGAGTATAGGTCGTTATGTAACTCGTTGTTACAATTAGACTTATCCTATATTAATTATTAATTAATAGATTAAATTGTGAATAAATAACAATTATCTAGAAGTGTTAAAATTAAACAACTCTCTAATGTCTAATCTAATTGTTGCTAACTCTTGCAGAACCATGTGAGCCAGGTATATGGTGACTAATACAAAAGACAATTCTCTAGTGGTATTATCTTCAACATCATTAACCTTCTATGATCCACCTACTACACCAAACACCAACAACAATCAATTTTCTGACTTGCCAGATAAAGTAATATCAGAAAATGACTATAATAGTGAAGATTACTATATACCAAACCACTCTTTTAATGAAACAATTACTCAAGTAACAGAACTACTTGAAACTATAGATCTTCTTATATGTTACAATAAATTTCTCTTTTATTATAAACTATCTCCACTTAAATATCTACAAACAATTCACACCTTTTTACATTACATTTTTAATGAATTTTCTTCATACTATTCATTTTACTATATTAGAATTTTTATTCTTAACAAAAAAGACAAAAACAACAACTATGAAGAAGCATATATTTATTTACCTAATAAAACTTGTCTACTTCTAAACCACTTTCTCTCTCTCTTTCAAGATTTACTTTGCTAGTTTAGATATGCCCCTCTCAAATCTTATATACAAACTACTGATAATAACTCTTACCAACTTCCATTAATGATTCTCACTTCATTAATTCATCTGTATCTTTATAAACACCTACTTCCACCTTATACTTATCAAATAATCCATAATATACTTCAAGAAATCTATATAATTACAATATTGACTCTTCTTCTTTACCAAGTTCAGGAAATCTATCTAATTACAATACTAATCTCCATACCCTACTAAGTCTTAACACAAACTCATCAAACTCTTCTACACCCTCTCTCCAAACTTGTCCTTCATCATCTCAACTTATCAACTTCACTAGCTAATAATTATAACTTGTATCTCACTATTGCTATATACAATGTTTGGGGTTTCAATACTTTTTTCAAAAAACAAATTTGGCAAGATTACTGTATCCACCACAATATCACAATAGCTAGCATTACTGAAACAAAATTCTTATATAAAACAAAACTTTTCTTCTGTAACAACAATCTTTATACTTACTACTGGGCAAACTCTGACAGCTTTGCTGAAGGGTCTGCTATCATGATATGCAGTTTTCTTAAACCTTATGTATATAGTTGCCAAACATATTCTGGTAGTGCAATCATACTTGATCTTTTTTTTAAAACACTTATTAAGCTCTGAATCACATATATATACTTCTCTTCTACTAACTCTTCTCAAAGAAATGCTATCAAAATACAGTTATTAGCTAGATTTTGCAAGCTCAACAACAAAATATTCACCCTATCATTCTCGATAACTTTAACATATATGACAATATATTTAGCTCCTCTGCCAAATTTAAACTTATTAACTTCCTATACTGTTCAAACATGTTTGATATTAGCTCTCACTCAAACAACATTTCACATACTTGGTCTAATAATACAAGCTCTAGCAGAATTAACTATATTTGGACTAACTCATTTAATATTCAATTTCTTCTAGTCTACAATTTTGATAATAGTAAACAAATACACTTAGTGACCATTTTATACTCTCTACTATCTGGACTTTCCAAATATATATAGCAAACTATCTTGCTTATATACCAATATCTGTTGCCAAATTTTTAACTATAAATCAATATCTTCTAACTACTGGCTTGAGTTCTTTGACTTTGCTACTAAACTTTTTTCACAATATCGCATTCCTACCTCTACTGACTCTACTATTAGTATTGATAGTATCTGGTATAAGATTTAGCACTGTATTATACAGACTGCAATTAAAAATGTTTCTAACAAAGTTATATATAAATATAGCTATAACTATAAGTATAGCCCACATTGTACTATACTCTATACATAACTTAAAAAACTCAGCTACCTTATTAAAACAATTTGCTTTAACACTGACTAGTCAGATATATATCTGCAATATATTTATTCACATATTCTACTAAATTATATACAAAGCACAATCTTCAGTTACCTTCAAATATAGCTTAAAGAAGCCTATACTGTTTGGAAACAGATGTACCATGTCTATTACTTAGAATATTTATTCTATCTTAGACAACAAATTAACCAAGCTTTAGAGAAAAAATATAAAACTCTTGTTTTCAGACCACTCATACAATTAATAGTATACTTGACCGCTACCAGGCTCCTATTTATTTCTCTAATATCAAGCTACCAAACCAACTTGTTACAAATTCTACAGACATCAAACAATATATACAACAACACTTTAATGATTAGACTGCATACAAGTCTATTAATTATTTACTTTTCAATAACATTTGGCAACAACATTACTCTCCTTTATCTCACATTAACCCAGACTTGTATAATCCTCATACTACACCTATTACAATTGAAAAGATCTTCCAAACTATTGCCAAACTTTCTAATAACAAAGCCTGTAGCTCTACAGATATATGTTTAAACACCTTAGCCATCATTGTATAACTGTATTTGTTGCTCTTTTAAACCGATGCCTCTCTAAAAACTATATTTCTAAACAATGGAAACATAGCTAAATCTATTCTATTCTAAAGAGAAACACATTTGATAGAAATTTTAACTTAACTCACCTTATCAGCCTTATAAAATATGCCAGAAAAATATATACTAAAATTCTTACAAACAGATTAAACAATGTTTTCTCTCAACACTCTATTTTTTTTTCTTACAACTATGTTGCTCTTCTAGACAATAGTACTTCTATTTCTATACACATCCTCAACTACCTCATCAAAGATAAAGCTGTAATTACAAATAAATCTGGCTCTTGTTTTAGGACATGAGCAAGGCCTATGACTTTGTCAACTCTACTCTTTTGCATCATGCCCTTTTACATCTTGCACTTTTTGCTTTAATTATTAATACAATCTCCAACCTGTTCATTGGTCGCCATAATGATATTATTACTAACCTCAGCCTTACACCTTCTTACCTTGTACAAGATGGAATTAACCAAGAAGAAACAATTACACTATTACTTTGGTATATTTACTATGATCCTCTTATTTCCTATATATATTCTACTATACCTGGATATCAAATGCGGTTTACCAGCTTAAAAAATTTTTCAACCAATCAACTTAAAACCAGATGCTCGGTCCTTGCTTATATAAATAACACCTTATAGGTTGCATCTTTATACACAGAACTAGCCAAAATAATTTCAATTGCAGAATCCTTTTACTCTATGGCTAATATCCAAGTAAATTCAAACAAATTAGTCCTTATTACTAACTTAATCTCTAATTCTTACAATCCAATTATCTTCAATAACCAAACACTTCCACTACAACTACTACACCAACCACTCAAATTCCTTGGGTGTTGGTTTACACTTGACAACAAACAATCAAAACAAATACAACAAATTACAAATGAGTCTTCTCAACTCATTCAAACAATTAGTTCTAAAAAAATTACAGACACACAAACCTAGAACTCCGAAGAACTCTGATACAACTTGGATTTAAGTTTGAATAAAGTTCATATAAATTTGGCCAAATAGATGTATAAAATAGAGCAAAATTTAAAAAATTTACTATATAAAAAAGCAATGTTTGATGATTTTTTATACAAAATTTTTTTTTTTGATAACATATGAGTTGCATCAGAGTTCTTTGGGGTTTTACAAGCCTGCTATATTATTAACACAGTTATTATATCTACTATTAAATATCGCTTACAGAACATTGTTCTTAGCTAAACAGCTTGTAATAAAATCTTCACTTATAATATTGGTCTAGTCAAGCACAAAGCCAAACTTAGCCACACTATTCCTACTAGTACTTTACTCCATCTACAAATTTACAATATCAAAAATATCTGAAATATTCAATTGCAACTTCATATTTTCAACTTTATCAAACAGCTTAACAATAATCATCTTTTCAGCACTTATCCATATTCAACAACTACAAACCAATCTATAGTCTTCAGTAAACATCTTCTCATATCCCAATTTTATAATTAAAAGCTCTAATAAAAACACTACTAATTTTAAAATTATTTAGCTCCTTAAATATATTAATTGGATAATTAGTTCCAACTTCAACACCTTTATTCCTTTTACAATTTAGGAAGATTCAACCTCACTCGAATCAATTCTTGCTTTTTACCCTCAATATCAGCACTATTATCTACTTTTTCTTAACCAGCTTACCACATCTAACAATTTTTGTTTGCTTAAATAGCAACACTTTTACCAAAACTAAACAAAATTCCAAAAGGCAGAATACCTAAATGGTTTACTATACTAGAAAACATTTCTATTTCTAGTTCTTCCTAGAGAACTATTCATCTACACTTTAATCTTCTATCTACTAACTACTATAGCTATAGTACTGGCCACTTTTACCAATATATAGTGGGATATTATATTATTGTGGACACTTTTTAAGAATTTGTGCAAAGCTAAATATATAAGATATAAAGCTATAAATTAAAATATAAATTCTTTCAAACTATATCTTTTAAATAAA